GATGGATGGATGGATGGATGGATGGATGGATGGATGGATGGATGGTCAAGGTCACAGAGTAAACAGACTCTCTCCTCCTCAGGGAAACCCTTATATCTGTCCACTACCTCTTTCAAATGGAGGCTACCACACTGAAAAAATAATGCAGCCGTTTTTGGTTTTTACTTAATCATATTTATTTACTTTAACACATTTTTCATTTTTATTTTAGCAGTGTAGAACATAAAACAATTGTGTTAAAGTAACTAAATATGCTTAAGTAAAAGCTGTTGCATCATTTTTTTCAGTGCAGCTCTGAACTGGGCAGACATGATATATATGTTTTTACCATGTCATCCAGCCATAACTCTGGTTAAAGGGCTTTTTATGCTCTCGTTATGCAGGTCAATAGTTCTGCCCAATTATTTGTCAATGTGATCATATTTTCAAAGTGTTGATTATGACACCGGATTGATAGATGCTACTGCCACTAGAGGGCCGATCAAATTTAACATTCATATATAGAGATATTTCAGGCGATGGCAAATGTACAAGAAAGTTATGATAATAAACACTCAGCAGGATAAAGGAAGGTGGAGAAGTTCTCCCCTATTCTTCATCAGATAAAAATGCTCGCATGAACAAGATAATTAATCATGGACTGAAATACAGATTAACTTAAACCAGAAGATGGAGAGAAGGCTGGGTCCATATATGCCTCTGTGTAGTTTATGTTGAGCATGAATGGCCCTTAAACCTGCTCCTTTGCCCACCTAAAAAGTAATTTCTCTTGAATCCACTTCTTGCAACACGATTATGAAATAATGTTTTTGCTGAATCCTAACATAAAGCATCAACCAAAGGAAGAGTGCTGGGAAACAATAAAAATAAAGTTGTTTTTTTTCCATGGATAAAATATATTTATATCAGTAACCACAGGGTTTAAACAACTAAATCATAAAACCAAAAGTTTAACCCATATTTTGTTTTGTTTTATGGATAACTTCTTAACACTTAAGAAATATCTATCTAACTCAAAGACAGCATGGTCTGATCCCTAACTTGAAGTTTTTACTTCAGCATTTGATGAGTTTTCATCTAAACCTTCATAAGTTTAAAAACAGACTCTGAAGAGCATCATCAATTTCCTTTGGGCTGCTGGGTAAACACATTATTTCTGCAGACCTTTGATTAAATCTGAATAAATAGAGAAACCTCTTGCTCTGAGCTGAATGTGAGGCACTTTTGAAATGGGCTTAAAAAAAATAAAAGTTTGAGAAGGAAAAAATGTTTCAGATATCTTAATCAGTAAACTTTGCAGGGAAGTTATGCATAATTAAAACTAAAAGTGCTCCCCTGGCTATGGCCTCAAAGGCTTCATTAAATACTGAGTTGTCCTGCAGCTTCTTGCACACAAATGGAGCATCAAGAGTTATCTACTTACAGTATCCACATCTTGTTCCTCCTTCAAACACAAATCCATTTGGCACTGGTCCATATCTGCGCAAGTCTGGCAGATTCCAATGGCCGATAATGATGGGAGGAAAGTCCCGGATGAGGGCCAGAAGGTTGTTGCACAGATGAAGAGTTGCAGGTCCAGTCTCCAGCCTGGTCCCTGGTAAAACTCCAACACTGAATCTGTGAACTGAGCAGACAGAGAAGTCTAAACAGAGCTGCAACAAAAACACAACAATAAAATATTTTATCTTTAAAACACCATTGAATCACTACAGTTTTAAGTACATCGCTGGCATTTCATTAAATGTCTTATTTGGACCTTGTTTTAGCAAAAGACTAATAAGCTGGAATATCTTCTTCAAAAATACCTTGACCAAGACAGACAGCAGTACAGAAACTCAACTGAGTTGGAAAACACCAAGCATATAACATAAATAAACACGCAGACAATAAAAAAAGGGTACCTCAAAGGACTAAAAGCTTCACCATGTGCTAAAGTGAGCCGATGGCAGTTTCAAAAGTACCTCTATTGGCCACTAATGAATTCTTAAACCAGGTTCTAAAGACTTATTTGTAACTAATGTTTAGGTTAGCAAAAACCAAATCATTCTGACAAAAAATAAGCTTCCAGTGTTTGGGATTTCATTACCAAAAAAAAAAAAAAAAAAAAAAAAAAAACACTTAAACAGCCAGAAGGCCCAGCAAAAATATCCGCATATTTAAAAAAAATTTGAAAATGTGAAAATTATCAACCACATACTTCAGTAGATTTTGTTTGGATTTTATTTTGCCAACAGAAGGAATGGCGTAGTGGTGGGAGCATCAGACTACTCAGATCAAAGTAAAAATCCAGTGCAACCAGTTGCCTTCAGAAGTCATCCAATCAGCAAGCAGAATTAACCTATGTGATCAAATCACAGTATATTGTTATTTTAAAGCCTTTGACATTTGTAGGAGAAGGTGAGCAAATCATCTTAAATCATCATCTTAAAGACCAAAGAACCCAGCAGACAGGTGAAGAAGAATGCTGTGAAGGTAAAAACCTGCTAAGATGTGGCCGTTCACGATTTGATAAGCAGCCAAGAAGCCTCTGGTAACTCTTAAGACGCTATAGATCCACAACTCAGATGGTGCACTTTATAAACATAAACTTAATAAATCAACGATAAGATAAATGCTATTGTTGAAAGAAGCCAAGTTTAGTTGCAAAGTATATGACATGTTGTGCAAATTAAAAAAACTAATGCTAACCCAATCCTTTTACTCTAACATTAAACGAATAGTACACCCAAAACATGATTAGCCTTCATTTTCTACTCACCCCCATGCTGAACAAC